TACAGTTAATATTTTACTACCAGGCCTACTTATACTAAACATACTACTGTGATGAGTATTTCTAATTTTTATTATCATTTTTGCATTTATTATTGTGACTATTTCAGGAGGCGTTGAAGATGTCAGTCAAATTCAATGAGCGATTGGTCCAGGCAAGGTGTCTATGTATTCTGGCTGATATTCACAGGACGAAAAAAGATTTCGAGGTAAACATCCACCAATACTGAATCACAATAAATGATATTGTTAACTTATATTGAACTCAATAATGTGTATTGTTAACGCATAATTAAACGCAAAAAATATATCCCTAACGCGAGCTACTGCAGAAAAATCCATCATTATTTTAAATAGGAATCGGAGTAACCACTGTCTCTTATACACATCTAGATGTGTATAAGAGACAGTTTGACTTGCCTTTCCCTCCGAATTTCTTAATCTTGAGAGGGCTTTGAAAATGAGTCCCCGATGATCGTTCAGAACATGGAACTTTAAATGACGCATTACGATTTTGCAACAAAACACACAGACCTACATGAGCTTCTGTAGTAGTGAGAAATACACAGTTATTAACTATTCTGATCATATCTAAGCAGAATAACATTGACAGTAAAACTTGAATAGTCTGATTTGGTATGGCACATAACGCCAATCCCCGTAAAGAATAAAAGCAACCAATACGCAAACCAATACGCAAATCCTTTGTCGACCGGCCCTGTGGCCCAACGGATAAGGCATCTGACTACGAATCAGGGGATTCCAGGTTCGAATCCTGGCAGGGTCGTTAAGTTTTCTTTTTTTTAATCAATTCATTATTACCATCGAAATTCATTACTATTAATATTTAATATTTTATAATAATAAGCTTAACCATAATATAATTAAATAATCTATTTGTATAATGCCCATATCTGCTTCAACAACAATAATACATCATACGAACAATAACAAAGGTAAATGATAAAGGGCAGTAACATAACCACCAAAAGAACAATAATAATAGTAGTAATAATACTGTTATAATGGTGATATTGATAATAATAATAATAACTGCAACAACAATGATAATGATAATATCAACAACAACAACAACAACAACAACAACAATAATAATAATACTATTAATATTAATATTAATAATAATATTAATATTATAATAATATTATTATCATTATTATCATTATTATTATTATTCTTTTTATTATTATTATTCTTATTATTATTATTATTCATTATTATTATTATTATTCATTATTATTATTATAATTCATTATTATTATTATTATAATTCATTATTATTATTATTATTATTCATTATTATTATTATTATTATTATTATTTAGTTGGTTAGTCCTATTATTTTTAGTATATTTTTTTTTCGTTTAATTTTTCGTTGAAATCAATTTGTTTAATTTTGCTAGTATTACGCCCTAAACTCTAATGACGTATTGCTGGACGATTGATTTTAAAGGCAGTATTAACATCATCATCATCATCATCATCATAATTATTATCATCATCATTATCATCATCAATGTCATCATTGTCATCATCATCATCAGGAGTTGAATTGTAGGGATATTAAATTACTTCAAGGGCGGATTTGAGTACAATTTTTTTTTTTTTTTTTGTTTTGGTGTTGGGCCGGGGGATCAAAAATGTTTCCAATATACCCCATAAAGGGGTGGTCAGGGGTTGTCTTGTTCCGCCTCTTCAACAGTCAGTAAATTTGTTTCATTCTTATTACAGTAAATATGCCTATTACACACATAACAAAATACGTAGTTGGGTCAAAACGACTAAAAACTGTCAATTCACGTTTCAAATAATTGAAAAAAAATATAATAAAATAACAATTTTCTGAATAATTCAAAAAATTATTGGTGACAATTTCAAAGCAAGGCAGTGTTCCCCGCTGGCCTAAATAAAATCTGCCATGCCTATCATCTGTATTATGCTAGCGCACGGCTTTACACGGCTGAATGTTTACCTCACATTTTGTGCTAGCCATTGGATAGGCCTGTGTAGAAAGAGATATCCTCCGCTACAGTAGGTCCTCCGAATCAAGAGACGTATACTGTATTGTTGTTGAAAATTTAACATGTTAATTGGTGGCATGTCCAAAAATTGCGATTCACTGCCAAATGTTGTTAATTTCTTTACTGAAATTCCTCAGCAAATGGAGTAATTTGGGATTCGTTCAAGTTTTTCAAGCTCGTTAGAAATAAAAATACAGTTTTTTTTTAATGTTATATTTTTAACAGCGATATCATTGTGAATAGGCCTATGTGTAAATTGTTTCCTTGCTTTGAATCCCCTAACCAAGCTCAGTTAGGAGGTGTAAGTACCGTTAACTACTGATTTTAATCAGTGTAGGGCGCGCGGTCGGAGTCCAGGGGGTGAAAAACCCTGATGGGGGTCCGTGGGGACTTTTGCGCTCGGAGCCTATGTCATTCATGTACTGTTGAACTGAGTTAGCAGAGAACATAGAATGGTCCATGACTGATGAAATATTTCAGACAATTATATGACAAAAGCAACATAGATTACATAGGCTAACTTTCGGAACTGGTATAGGCCTACAGTGTTTTTTATGTAAGTGTAAATAAATACAAAGAATAATTAGTGAGAAACAAAACATGTTTTTATAATGTAAATACAATGCAAAGCAGATTGATCACGAAATCTGAAACAATTAAATCTCAAATATCAGAACTCAGCTTTTAAATCCATTAAATGAAACTATGCTATTATTAGTTTATATTATATATATTTTTAAAACTACAATGTCAGAGCCAGAGCAGGTCTATCAGTTTAATAAACCTGAATTTTTCAAACCAACCTCCAAGTAGCCCGGTTGCTTTATGCCTAATAATTAATAAACCTACCTAGCTTGCCTACTCTCATTCTACTTACCCTGTTTCGTTCCCGTTTTTAGAAAGCTGCGGATATTCTTTTCTTGGCTGGAGGCTTTTCTCCTAGCGACCCTGGGTAGGATTTTCAAAAACCGTGGGGATTGCACCCTTAGCTAGGCGTTTTTCTTTTCCCCACAACCCCCAAGCAGTTGCAAATGCTGACTTCATTTCAAAGCATTCTGCTTCCGCACAGGATCGATGCTTGGTGGGCTGCCAGAGCAGTCGGTCCTTGAAATACCGACTGCCTGGGTCCATTTTTCGTCTGTTTCGTTTCACTCGGAATCTGGTGTAATCTAACGCCATCTAAATGGGTTGTTTTTGGAATAAATTTCAACACAATGCATAACAATATAGCCTTGAGTAGACTGTAATTCGAATACTGTAGACGAATCTAACTTCAAACAGAACTTTTCTCGACAATCAAAACAAACCGTGATAGAAGACAAGATAGTTAAGAGAGGTGTCACATGGCCATTATAAGCATTGTGAGGTGGGCGGGGCCTAAATGTTGAAAAAATCGCAATAAATCATGATTTTTTATATTATCATAAACAGTGTGACTTTTATTTCCATATCTCACGGTTTATATATACCTAGGTGAATATAAACATTCAACACAAAATGTATGAGATTTCAATAATTATAGGTCTTTTAAAGACATTTCTTGGGAGTATCAAACCAAATAATCTATATATTAACCTCCCGTGGGAGAGCAGACACATAAATACAGATGGAGATAATTTTTTTTTTTAATGTAAATGTTTAATCAATTTAATTATACACTTTAAACATTTTTAAAAGACAATATAAACTTAACACTATCTCGCATTCCATAATAAATACAAAAAAAAGATAAAACCTAACTCTAATTTTCCCTCAAAGAACAGATCACCATACGTTATATTTGACTTAACAATCTATCGTTTCCTTTCCATAAACTCTAAAATACTAAGTACGTTGATGTTCTTAACTAATTCCAGATCTTTCTGACCAGTGGACAGTACCTTCACGATTTTAATGGCAATTTATCATGCACATTTATTCATGTTTGTCTTATTGAATATGAAAATTGTTATTTTTTGTGCTGCTCATCTGATATCACAGATTATGACACATATTGTGTCACTGGATTTGTGCTCCAGTGAATGATGACAGTTGAAGTCCGTGAAGATATTAGTGAGAGTTGGTTTTCGATAAGCAGTAGTTGTTCATGTGTGTGTCGTAGTGTTTTAGGAAAGAAAATCGATTGTTTTTCATAAGTTCTGTTGTAAATTTTGTCTTAGTAGTCGATGCGGTCGATGTTGTTGATGTTGTAGTTGTTCAAGTCCTTAGCGGTATTGACTGGTATGATGGACAAAATATCCTCTACGTACCGTCTCCACAAAGCGAGTCTGTTGTCAATTACCGTGTCGATTAGATACTTTTATAGCAATTCTATAAAAAATGTTTTCAATGATTACGCTAATACAGGACTACCCAGGGAGATTTCCTTTTTCTGTCTGTATATATACATGATAAACACTAAAGTAGGCGGTGCTTGACTGTTGATACAGCTAAAGTTTTAATACGCTAAAGTTGTAATTATAGGCCTCGGCCTTACTAATGACTGTTGTCCTTCTGTTCCTAGATCTGTAATGTTTAGGTTTACAATGAAAAATATAATACTCAAGATTATAATCTTAGTATTTAATTCAATTGAGTTTATCTGTCAATGTAATATTATTATTTAGCTATAAAGAGCATTTATTGACATGTAGTTTCAAAATACCGTCACTGTGCAGTCGTAGTAGTTCTTTAAATTCTTTCCCAAAACCATGTCCGTATTTCTTCAACGTGCTGTTTTCGAAATAGTGGTAGGAAACTGAACGATTGTTGAGGTCCTGAAAGAATGGCCAAAATCCATATAGATGAATCTCCTTGCAATATAAGAGCGCTGACATTGTGATATAAAATCCTGTAAAAAATAAATAAATTGAAATTTCTTAAAAAAATTTACTTTTTTTCTTAATGTAGGCCAACTTGGTTTTACTTAGATTTCTTGGAATTTCCAACGTCTTAATGTTGAATGCATGGGTTCACTAAGGTTCTTTCAAATCAATATATTATTGATATAGAATAGTTCTTTCTACTATTTTCGAACAGAAAGGAAGTAATCGACACTGGCCTTGCATAGAACTTGGCACAAATTAGATACTAGAATATACATTTTTATATCCTCTCCTATGCAACAGTTGTCCAAAAGTAACCGGAAATGACATTTCTGACCTCTGTTCCTAGATACCCTACATACCCTGAATCATATCTATTGTTCCATAACCGTTGGTCATAGAGACCTAATATTTTATTCTGAAATTGTTCTGAACATACATGTTAGACCGATTAGAAAGGACATTTTTCACTTTTGGCCCTAGATAACGAGCATTATCATGCATGTCTCCACATCGGGTTGGAACGGGGGTTCCCATGCCCCCCCCAACCTGGATATATTTTTTTAACTAACATTTTTGTAATCCTCAAAGTGTCTCATGAAACAATTTTGATATTCCCATAAAAATGGGTTTGTTTGGTAGCCATTTTGGTGGTCATCTTGGATTTTCAACGAAAATCATTAATTTTTATAATTCATTGACTAAAAATCATATAAAATCAAATAAGCCTCTAAATGTATATAGGAAGCAGTGTTTATGTTCTTAATACAAAATGATTGTCTTCGCATTTACATTTGACGGCCATATTGGTGGCCATCTTGGATTTTGAATGAAAATCATTAATTTGTATAATTTAATAACTAAAAATCATATTAAATCAAGTAAACCTCTAAATTTACACAGTAAGCAGTGTTTATGCTCCTAATACAAAACACTGACTTCCTAAAACATTTGGCGGCCATATCGGCAGCCATTTTGGTGGCCATTTTGGATTTTTAATGAAAATCATTAATTTGTATAATGTATTAACTAAAAATCATTAAAAAAAATCAAGTGAACCTCTAAATGTATATAGTAAGCAGTGTTTAAGTTCTCGATACGAAACCTTGACTTCCCTATACATTTGGCGGCCATTTTGGTGGCAATCTTGGATTTTTTTTAAATCATTAATTTAATGTATACTGTAATTTATTAATTAAAATTCACATAAAATCAAATGTATACAGTAAGCATTGTTTTATATTCTAAATACAAAACATTGGCGACCATATTGCCAGCCATTTTAAATGTTCAATGAAAATTGATTATTGGTATAACATTTGACCTATATATCATACAAAAAATAAGTAACCAATGTTTTTAGAGTAATGTTATCATTAGGAATTGATTGAGTGTGCAGTACACTACATTCTCCCCCAACTAACTTTAAACTACAAATTCAGACAGTCTGGGGCCTTAACTATTCGTGAGGATTTCGCAATAGGGTTTTTGATCTGGTAGGACTATTTGACCTTTGTCAACCGGTTCACTCACTTTAGGGTTTTCGACCACCATTGGATTTTCAGAGAATGTGGAACTTTGTTTTGGCAAAGGCTCAGGGTGTGTTACCACATGTGGATCTCTATGCTTCTCATGAACTTCCCTTGGAGTATACCCACTTACGTCATTGACATGAACACTAGCCATCAGGTCGGCATGGCAATAGCGTGGGGCTCCCACAAACACGCACCAAATAAGTAAGAGGACCCAACCTCTTAATTACACATCCATTTACATGCTTAATTAACTCATCTCTATTGTTTTTAACTCCAACATGTTCACCCACGTCAAATTTCCTCAAGTGCTCTACCTTACTGGCAGTGACCATTCCCTTCTTATGCCTTAGGGTTTAATAAGACATGCTAAAACGACACCAGAATATTTAAAATCATTTGAAGTTCGGACCTAGGTTGTCTCTGCTAGGAAATTAGGGGGAGGTCTTCCATGCAGCCACCAACCGCAGAAGTTTTGAGAACATACTGCTGTCAAATTTCTATGGATGGTGGTTTCCTCTGACCGTTTCTGTGGCTCTTGAATGACAAAATTTAATAGTGTGTGAATGGCTGGTTGATAGAGGTGAATTTTTTACCAGTTTTTGAGACAAAACCATCAAACCCTGGAACAAGTTGTTTCTCTACGCTCCCCACTGCACGTGCCAGTAACCAGATATGATACTCTCAGATGCACTTTACAGTTGCGCAGGCAGAATGAATGCAGCTCCCTCAGACAGTTTTGGCCCAACACGACCATATACCCTGATGCCAGGATCTTGGCCATATCCACTCTCATGAGCGCATCTTGCTTCATGCATAGACAGCATCCGGAGCATTTTCTCCTGGTTGCCCATGGCTCCAAACTTGGGTTTTACCTCCTGTACTATGATTCCAGCACTGTTCAACACCTTTGAACCATGAATTTTTGTTATAATTTTGTTCACATTCACCATCAGCTCTTGACGATGTATCCACTTCCCTCACTCCTCAGATCAACAGCATATTTCATCTCGAGTGGGACAATTTGAACAAAATTATGACAAATATTCATGGTTCAAACTGTGTTGAACAAGGCTTGTGGACTCAAGGTACAAGAGGTTAAACCCGGGTTTGAGCTCTGGACGCTTCCGGTCTACAAACGAAGCAAAATGTGCTCCTTGAAAGGGGATATGATCGTGACCCTGGCACCAGTTCAGGTTGTGCTGGGCCCAAATTTTCTGAGGGAGATGTATTCAGTCTGCCTACACTGAACAGTGTAACAAAGTGCATTAAAGAGTATTATGTGTGGTTACTTGCATATTGGTAGCAGCAGAGAGAAACAACTTGTTCCAGGATTTGGTGGCTTTGTCTCAGGTCTGGTGAAAACTCTTCTGTAAGTCAACCATCTCCAGTATTACCCCTATCTACCAGCCAGGCACAGAATATTCAGTCATCAAGGATATATGGAAGCAGTGAGAGGATGCCATCATGGAGATTAGTCATAAGTGTGTTTTCAATACTTTTAAACGTTGTGGCTACAATAAAGCACCCACAGCCTATTTCCCAACTTCCAACGTGTGAACCATCGGCTTGGTAACTTCAAGCAAGCTAATAGGCCGATATTCTGTTGCAACAAGCCTTGTGATTTTTCTTAGATAAGATTATTATGTACTACTCTGGTAAATTTTATGATGATCCGTTTTGTGTGATCTTTCTAAAAATCAGACAAACAACAGTGAATGCATAACCTCCTTGGCGGCAGTAATGATAAAGTATGTGCAGAGCGGGCCCTCCATTAATTATAGTCATTTAAATAATTACTTGATTTTATAAGGAATTTTCTTTGTAAAACATCCAAAAAAAAAGACTCATTGGATGTAACAGCATGTGTAGTTCAATAATAAATGTACAGTAGATTTATTGTGAAACTAAACATTGCATCTGAGTGGTGTTCATTGGTGTGGATAGCATTTGTGAACAGTGAGCTTGAACCACATTGGCCAGAAAATCATGGTCATTGAGTTTGACCATTAGTTTTTAGTTTGTACCGTGGTTGGACTAACATTATTTTTTAAATATTTGTTATACCATACATTACGCCTATACCATTAAGAAGCGCTTTTTCACCAGGATCAGAGCGTTTTGTATTAATTTTTGAGTGTAGATAAAGTGACTTCTCATATTTTTGTAGTTTAGGTGTATCAAACCTGCTTAAATCATAGGTCATGGATCTCAATCAATTCCCGATGACAACATTACTCTGAAAAAAATGGTTATTTCTTTGTATAATATAGGTGAAATGTTATATGCCTACAGTAATCAATGCTCATTCAAAAGACTATATGTCCCCCAATATAGCTGCCAAAATGGCTGGGCAATGTATTACGAAATCAATGTTTTGTATTGAGAAAATAAACACTGTTTATACCATAGGCCTATATATTTAGAGGTTCATTTGAATTATATGATTTTTAGTTAATAAATTATACAAATTAATTATTTTTATTGACAATCCAATATGGCCGCCAGTATGGCCGCCAAATGTATGAGAAGTCAATTTGTTGTATTGAGAACATAAACACTGCTTACTATATATATTTAGAGATTCATTTGATTGTATATGATTTTCATTCAAAATCCAAGATGGCCGCCAATATGGCCGTCAAATGTAAATGCGAAGTCAAGTTTTGTATTAAGAACTTAAACACTGCTTACTATATACATTTAGAGGTTAATGTGATTTTATATGATTTTCAGTTATTAAATTTTTCAAATAATTGATTTTCATTCAGAATTCAAGATGGCCGCCAAAATGGCGCCAAACGACCCCATGTGACAATTTTTTTTTTTTTTTTTTGAGAATATCAAAATTCGGTCATCAGATACTTTGAGGATTACAAAAATGTTTAGTTAAAACAATATATCATGAGGGTGCATAGGAACCCCCCCCCCCCCGATCCTACTAGACTAATATATGACTCCCTCATAGGATAGAGGGTGATGGGGTCTCAGTGTAATTGCTCCCATCGTTGTTATTTTTTGACAACTATTTCATTCGTTCTTACGTTATTCCTCTGCTAATTTTTTTAGTTAGAAGAGACTTTTTTAATGCCTTGTTTAGCGAACTTATTTTTTTAAGGTCGTCAGAAGAGGGTGGAAAAGAAATAAATGAAAAGTTTTTTTTTTTTTTTCATTTAGCAAACAGTTTTGCAAATCGAAAAAAAAAATAAAAATAAAAATGTTATTGGTGAATGTAAAGTGTAGCAATGTAGTTAATGTAGCCTTCAATTTATATAATTAAGAAGAAATGTACATATTTTTGGGGGATTTTAAGGCAGCGGCGGGCGTTATAAAAAGAAAAAAGAAAAACTTATTTTTTTAATGAAATTTCCATTTTGCTGTGGCGGCGGGTGCGCTAATTGTCCAAAAATAGTATTTTTATTTGAAGTCAACATTATTGGTGGACGGTGGGTTCGCTAAACAAGGTATAAACAAGTCTCGCCTTATCCTACTGTTGTAAGGTTTTTTTCCAGATTTATTAGCGACATTTTTTACATCAAAATTCTAGGGCAACAACAGTTGGCCATTTTGCTTTCTTGGCGTTAGATTCTTCTCCGTTAGTTAGTTGTTGCATCGACAGCTTGCACCTCTAATCTACTTCAATCATGGTTGAGCCAGTTAAAGGCAATAGAATCAAAGAAAAAAGACACTAAGGGACAAATTGTGAGTAAAAATCCTGTTGATCGAAAAATTGATAATTTTGTTTGTCTGGACCTGTAAAAGTTGATTTTCTTTTAATTTTGTTTTTAAACATCTAAATTTCAAAACTTTTTTATTCCGGTTTTTCGTAGAAACATGATTTAAAGACCGAAATAAAGCCTATTATAGTTATCTGTTTAAATATATCCATTTAACCCATTTTGATATTTCTTATAACATAAGACTCATTTTTTTACATCTCACATATTATAACTGCATAAATTCAAACAAATATAAATAATTGTATCCTATTTATTTTGACAGTCAGTTGACAAACATTTGCATGATTATAGCATAGTAAAGCGGTCTATCTCAAAATTATTTCAGTGCATTTAGTTGGCCCGTAATTTATTATAGAATATTGTTTTTGTCCCATAATCCCATCACCAAAATTTTTACTAAAAAATACAGTTTAAACTTTTGTGACAATCCGGTGTACGGTGTGGATATAAAGACCATTTAAAAAATATTAAAAATACGGCAAATATATAACGCCATTTTTTTTCTACAGCGTAAACTATGAAAACCCTGCTATTACAATTGCAGTCATAGTTTGAGTGTCACTGATGTCGAGTTAAACTATGTTCCTGTCTCTTATACACATCTAGATGTGTATAAGAGACAGTCATGAGGAGATACAAAAATGATAAGCAACAGCTAAAAAGTAAACGTAAGTAAACAGCCAGAAATAGAACCAGAGCTTTCGGACAACACTAGTCCTTCCTCAGTGGCGAGTGAGTGAGAATTTCATGCAAGCATGATTGGAAAAAAATAGGCTGGGTGAGGGTGAGATTAGAATAAACAGCCTAAACAAGTAAACAGGAAGGCCAAAACTAAACTTTAGAGGCAAGCCTCAATTTTTGTCCGTTAGTCCAATATACTGTATGGTGCCGCTTTGCGTAGTGATGTCGACTTTGTAGATAACTTTCTGGATAAAGCAATTTTTATTCGATTTACACTATTTTTTTCTTTATTCAGATTGTCCATGATTTAGTATTATCTTGCTGTGTTAATTTGTGCCCTTAAGGCTATTGATCTGCTTGATTTTTACTCGGTTAAACTTGCTTTACGTCATACATTTGTATACTTGTCTTTTACATCTAGTATATACATTATTTTTTGTATAAAATTAAAACAAAATTTGAGTAAAATAAATAAAATACACTAATTGTATTTACTAACCTGTAGACATAGTTTTGCTGATGTTAAATTCTTTTTTGCAGTAACGGTTGACATCTTTGAAATGATTTGGATTTCCATTTAGTACTTTTATTTTTCTATGCGTTCTTGAAATTAGATTAATGGCTTTTAAACATCCTAGAAAGGTTGTATTGGAGTAGAAGCTTGGAAACCAAATGTATTTGTTGTACTGATTTACTGAGTTAATAAACTTTAAAATATGCTTTTGTTTTCGTAATCCGCCAAATCTAAAAGATGGAGCAAAGATGGAGATTCTGTTAATACTAATCTATACTATGGAGTGAAAGTATGGAATGGGGCAACATTGAAAGGCAACATTGAAAATTAGTGATACATAGCTACATCCAAAACAAGTGCTTCCCTTAGTGTTGTGTATAATATCTTAGACGAAATGTCACTAAGGAAGGTGTTATATTTTCTGCACATTTAACGAATTACATATTTACCATTCTTTGAAGGTGCATTCTCAATGGATCCAAATTTTTGAATCGAAAAGCCTACCGAACCTATCAAAAAATCTAAAATATAATCAGAATGTAAGAATTGCGACGCTTGCTGCCTGAATTTTGATTCAATTCTATAGCTTTTGAGCGTCTGATAGTCCAACTTTTACTTTTTCTTTTGTTGCTTTATTCTTTTTTTAATTTTCAAAACCAATCATATCAAATTTGTATTAGTTTGGCGAATAATAATTATAAGTTTACATACAGGTAATATCGTGTGCCACACTTGACATTCCTTGCCCATGTTAATACTATTATCTGTTTACGTAAGGATAATTCCTTGCCCATGTTAATACTATTATCTGTTTACGTAAGGATAATAGGCTACATTTTAAATACACTGACCTTAATTTTAGAATCGAAGGATTAAATGTGGTTATATTAGACTTAACACCCGCATCTACTGAAAATTGGCTAATCGGTGGAGCATTGCATCTAAATGAGGAAGCAATAAAACAACTTTAATATTTTTATACGTAGTGTCTCCTTAATTTCTTATTAATTTTTAAAATATTTATTACCAATTATGTTAAATGGTATAGGTGAAATTGCATTAAAGGCTTAGTTATCGATTGCTTACTTTACCACCAGAAGGGCCTTACGAAAATTAAATAACATTGATGAATCCCCTATACAAATAAAAAAGACTATGTCAAATCATTTAGATTAAAGAGAAATTTATTTAAAATTAACAACTTACACTAAATTGTGACGGGTGTAACAAACTATAGAAATATCTTTAATTATTCTGTTTATAGATATATATATGATAGAACAATTAAACTACCTTAAAAATGATACCATAATATAATAGACCAATGGTAATTTTTAATTAGTTATTTAAATTAGTATAATGTATTTAATAATATAAGTGTAAATTAGACAAAAATGAAAAATAAAAATAGTATTGCTCTATTAAATGTAACCTACCTAATAACAAAATCAGCTCTGTCTATTTCATTACCACATTTACTTCCATTTAATATTCCGCTATTTCCCACAATAGAACATCGGTTATATTCACGTTGGATAGGATATACCTGGAAGAAAATACCTACGAGTAACGTTAATTATTCAATCAATAATATTCACGTAAATGTTTTTCTCGCTACATCAGAAAACCATTATGTAGTTCTGAATAGTTTCTTTTTTTTTACTTTCATTTAACATTATATTGTAATTTTATCTTTATTTTTTTATATTATGTTTTTACTTTTAATTTTAACATCAGATTTCATTATATTTTACAAAAAGACTTAGTAAGTCTAGTTGCGCATTGTGTCGTTGCTATTTAGTCCCAATTCAATAAATCGTAATATAAACATAAAGTAAGGAGATTGACCGACAAAGATATGGAAAAACACAAGGACGGAAGGTACCTCCGTCCTTCTGTTTTTCCATATCTTAGTCGGTCTATGTCCTAATGGGTGGATAAATTGATGGATGACTAAATTGATGGATGGATAGATAGATGAATAGATGAACTGACAGATGAATATATGAACGGATGGATGGGTATACAAATGGACGGACGTACTGATCAATAGATAGATGGATTGATAAACTGATACATAGATGAATTGGTGTGTAGACGTATAATCCAAAAAATAGTTTGTGTTGCCAAAAACATTTCCGACCCAAAAATATTCAAAATAAACGGATTTTAACTTATTTACCCAAAGCACGTGCATGCTGTTTCAAATTTCTGCTTTACAAGCTTTCAGTAAAAATGTGCTTTCCTATATTCTGGACGCAATGTTCCTAAAATCCCACATTCTGTGGCGGGTGTGCATAGCACGTCTGCGTCGAATTTGGAGAACTGCAGTGGCTATGTATACTACGTGCTGCATGCCATGAAAATGAACCATATTTTTCGACTGAGATGCGACAAAAAGCTTAAAGGTGTAAGGTAGGTGATGGTGCGAAACTGACAATTTACCATTAAATTTAAACAATAAAAGCTTGTAATTACCCTTTTTTTTTTTTTTTTTTTTTTTTTTTAAATTTAAAACATCTTTAGGCAGGATAAAATATACAGGCGAGATCTTACCGCTGTTTTACAATATTATGGTCCTGCAAACACATATTACAATAACAACAAAAAGTAACCAGCACAGTACAACAAAATAAACAACAGTTAAAACTTTGGTGGAAAACTCTCCCCCGCCGGACACTAACCCGGTACTTCTGAGTCAAGGTTTCGGGGCCAGGAGTTACGGCTCAAGGTTATGTTTAACTACAACTTAACTACAATATGGTAAAAACTATCCCCCGCTGGACACCAACCCGGTATTTCTAAGTCAAGGTTTCGGGGCCGGGATCATCAGGTAGGACAAATACTGTACAATTACTTAAATAGATAAAAATGGTAGAAACTATCCCCCGCCGGACACCATCCCGGTATTTCTGAGTCAAGGTTTCGGGGCTGCCACAACTTTTATCTTAACTACAAACTTAACTAAACAATGGTAAAAACTATCCCCGCCGGACACCATCCTGGTACTTCTGAGTCCAAGTTTCGGGGCCGGGAATAAATGTTAAAAGTATAGACCAAGAAAATAGAAAAGGAAATGAATTGTGATAATCAGAAAAAGTGTTTCTTATAAGTAATTTTGAATAAATTAAGAGATTGATATTCTTGTGTTGCAATATTTAAAAAAACAATGTAATATAAGAATTGTATAATGTAGAAGTGATGTTTGGCCCTAAGTGACATCTTCTTGTCATATTGAATACTTTGACCGTTCTCAAATACGTAGAAAAAAATCGACCCCGCCCCACCATTATTCTGGTGCCATAACACTAATTCACCGCGCTGGAACAGTACAGCGGGCACTGAAAAGGCTAATTCGATATATTTGCGTCGGGAAAATACTATAGGAGTGTAGGCCTAGTTAGTCCTACCTGACATGTTACCATACTGAAAACTATGTACGTTCTTAATTACTTGCGATAAAAAGTAAGTAATGATCATACCTTTGGTAGCTTATTGTAGAAATCTTGACTTATTTTTACGGTATCATTCTGGCTCATGTAACTTAACTTTTGAGATGGTTTGACGTCGTTTTTTGTTAAAATCATTTCAGAATTCATTGACTTTTTAATGTCTTTTCTGAAAAAAAAAATATTCATTATACACAAAGTGCGAATCATGTCAAATATTTTACACCTATAGTATAATTTTATTGTTAAACTACGACGGTTTTATAAGAAGGACAGTTAGATGCAATAAACTTGATCTCTTATATTAAATGCAATAGCCTTGTGTAGGCCTTTACTGAATATGGAGTTCCGGCATGGTATCCTTTGCAATTAAACTATATTAATTATTTCGAAAATATTCAACGTAAATTTACTCGAGCTTGTTTTAATTATAATCCATTTTATAGGTATTCTGATTGTTTATCAATGCTTTGAATCTCAACCTCTTCTCGCTTTAGGCATCTTCTTATTTTTTTTGTTTTATTTTGTTTTCATCGGACATTTCATGTTGAAATTGAACTCCTCCCAAAATTAAAAAAAAAATTAAGGCACTCGCCATGTTCTTGATTATTGATTTAAAATTCCATTTGAGCGTACCAATTGTCTCAAATTCACTGTCTTTCACTATTTCCAGTATATTTTTTAATAATTTACCTATTGATGACTAAGAACAAGCCATTGGCTGTCATAATTTTAAATACATATTACAAGATCTTTCTTTAAATATTATATGCCTTTGATAGTAATAATTTTAATTCTAAAAACACTTTTCTATTGATCTTTTTGTATTAATTACTGTACAATTTTACCTTGTAAACCTATATTGATAAATTAATATTATAGTTGTATATAAATATTCGTTACTTTTTGTTGTAACTTCTAAGCCATTGATTTTTAAAATTTAAAAACATATCTATTATGATTTTTATGTTAAATTACAACTAATGTAATAAAAATACCTAACATTTACTAACAACAGGTTTTTAAAATTTTCCAGCCTGGTTTTTAAATACTACACTGGTAATTTATTGACAAATAGCAATACCTGCTGTGATAATGACTTTTAAGTAGAGGTATTCTTCTTTGATGTTTAATCATTAAAAAATTATGAAATTTACATAAAATTATGAATACCTTATTCAAAATAATCCAACAAAATATCAGCTTTCAACGAAAAATATTAGTTTTTACAGATTTACAGACGTCTCTTATACACATCT